TTGCTGAGTGGAGAACTAAATTTGCTCAAATTTCACACAAACTTCAATAAAAGCAAGTGAACAAATAACAATCAACCCAAAGTTTGCTGCTCCTAAGTGTGGTAGTTGCACAATTTCATGTCAACTCGATAAAAGCATGAAGGGGTGGAGTCTAGCCTGTAATCAGGTGACAGCCCGATGATCCCTCCTTGTGGGCGTGGACTTCTCATGAGGATTCTGGGAACTTCCTCTCTCTTGATTCTTCCATCAGAAAAGGCTGGCCTCTCTCCCTCTCTCTCTCTGCTTCACCTTCGTGTTGAGAAGCCTCGTGGAGACCTGAGCCTGCGCCAAGATGCCTCCACCAGCATTGGATCCAGAAGACTTTTCACCCACTGGCCTGTGATCTTCCTGCATTTCAGCATCATTGGATGTCCTACGTGAGTCTGAAGAGGAATTTATAGATTGGTATTGGGCATACAGGCTAATATCGGACTTTTATGGACTTGATCTGGACTGGGCTGGGATATTTTCTTAAAATACAATTGTCCTTTGATATAAAGCTCTCTCTTACACACATATGAGTGTCACTGGATTTGTTTCTCTGGTCAACCCGGACTAACACACTAAGGCAGTCACCCCCTTTGCCTTTTAATAGAAGTGCCATGATGCAATCCAGGCTTGATCCTGGTTTATTATTCTGATCTCCTTGAATATGAAAGACTGTCCAAACATTCACAAACTGCTCACCCTCCATCTAAGCTACTGTCCGGTTATTTCAAAACCATTCCCCAAAGCAGAACTATTTTGGAGACTGGTACCTAATGGTCCCAGTCTCATGGTGTGTTTTCCAACTATTAATGATAATATTTGCATTCTTCCTTGCTTTTTACAGAAGCTACTTGTAGGGCTTCTGTATCCACTACTTACTCAGCAGGAGGCTGATCACAGGCTAGGATTAGGGCCACAGATGAATTGAAATTTTCTGTAGGTTTTGTGCTCCGGCAGACGGCAGTATCACCCAAACTTTATGTGGCAGCAGGGTCTTTTGTCTAGGACCATGGGTTTTCTACATCACGAGGATCTCTGTGATTATGCGCAGTGGCTGTGGGTGGTCATGGGTTAGGCTGCTGACCACAAGGTCAACAGTTTGAAACCACCAGCAGCTGCACAGGAGATAGAGGCTTTCCATTCCCTTGATCAGTGAGGCTCAGACACTCACAGTTCTCCCCTCCCCTATCGGGTAACTACAGATGAGTCGACATGACCTTGAGGGCAGTGAGTTTCGTTTGGATGGTGACTGTCTCTGAACCCACGGGAGCAATCCTACTCCACCTGATGGAGTGGCTCTCAGTCAGAATCGACCGGATGGCACTGAGCGCAGCTCGGGTTCTCAGTGGTGCATCAGCTGACTCTCCATGATGAAAGGTCGGCATTTCAAACTCACTAGCACCTCCTGGAGGGAAAGAAGCCATCTGTCTCTGTAAAGATGGATGACAATAAGGGCCCGCCTATAGCAGTTGGCATCTCCTCGACGGCAGTGAGATTGCCTTTTGGTTTATATCTGCTGTGTTTGAAAGTTGTCGATGAACCTTAAGAAAGGTTCAAGTTCAGCTGACACTTGTGAACAAGAGCTGTGCTAGAAGTATCTATTGTGGTAAGTCCGTTTTAAGTCAGGTTTGAGGTTAGAATTTTCACTCTGGAATTGTGGGTGCTGGCTTCATAAAAGTTGCACTAACCAAGGAGCGGGCTCCATTCACTTGGGATTCATTAGGCCAGCCCATGAAAGCTTTTCAGTTACGTGTGAAATGCAGAATTGAAAGTTTTGTAGAACCCCGTAGAGCTGTGTCTCTTTGGGGCATTTTAAAATTATTTTAGACCTGGGATAGTTAGGAATACTCTTTTTGGCTGCCATAGAATCCCCCTTCCTTGGTAATTCTTCCAATCCACCCACAGTGGCCAGGGGCCTATGGGCTGAGGGTGGGAGCTGGTTCCAGGCGTACAGGTGGGCAGGGACTTTCTGTATGTGTGTGTGGTGGTGTATTAGTCTAGGTACTTTGGAGAAACAAATCCACAGCGACTCGTGTACAAGAGAGAGTTTTATGTAAAGAAAATGTGCATCACAAAAACATCCCAACCCAATGCTGCCCAAGCCCACAAATCCAACATTAACCCATTAACCCAACACCAGTCCACAAAGTCCTCCACCTCACAAAACAGAGGCAATGATGCCAACTGCAGGAGGAAAGCTGAGTCAGTGAACGAACAAGCATCTCAGCACTAGCAGGGGTCTCCACACGGCTGCTCCAGCACCCAGGGCTGCATCGGGATAGGTCCATGCGGCTTCTCCTTGGGGATGTCTTGTAGGAAGTCAATCTTGCAAGCTGAAGCAGGGAACTGCTAAGGCAGCTGCACCCGATGCAACCATCACAAAACAAGAGACCCGAGAACTAGAAAGGCGAGGCTTCACCACCCATTTATCCCTCCGCCCTTCAACCAGCCCCACATGTGATTATCGGCCAGGCTGGCACAATTAACTAACTCAGGTGGTGTGGTGGTGGGATGGTGGGATATTTCAGTCTCTCCTCCCTTAAGGGGCCTGTCCTTCCTGTTGCTCCTCTCTGTTTTTGGTCACAGCAAGGTGGAAAAAATCTTGGGGAATCAGAGAAGCCTTCCCATCCATCCTCCAGGGTCCTCAGGGCTGTTGTGAGGTGACACCGAATACTGGCTGGGGAATGTAGGGTGTGAGCTGAGGTCCCCCGGCTGATGGATTCCTCCTCCTTCTTGGTCTCTGCTTGGGAGAGGGCAGTGAGGAGGAGGAGGAGCAGGCTGGGGGAGGAAGGGGAAGCTTTCCCTCACTCCCTTCTCTTTCCTCCCACCCGAGGTACCTGCCTGGTGTATAGCTGAGGTGACAAGCTGGCCTAAGTGGAGGGGGCAAGGCAAGGGACTATGAAAGGAATGCTGAGGGAGTTCCCCAGAAGCCAGCGGGATCTGCCTGGTTAGGGCGGCTTGGAGGTGGGTGGGTTCCACTTGGATCTCCTAGGTAAAAGAGGTGAGGCTCATTGGGCCGCTGGGGTGTGGGCCCCCCATCACCATCTCATCCATTTCATGTCTCTACATTTACGGTGATTGCCAAAAGCTTGTCTCTTTTTCCCCACAGTGAATTTGGGCAAATCAATGAGAGTTTAGGACGAAGTTTAAATCTCCAGAGGACTGGAGGTGCACCTGGAGGGCACGCATGTCATGGCTGCCAGCCCGGAATTTGGAATTCAAGTCCAACCATTTCATCCATGCCCGGGCTTATTTCTAACCCATGCATGTAAACATGTCTCCATGCGCAGTGGATGGCTGCAGACAAGTTCTCTCGGTGATACACTTGTTTTAGTCTTGTGAGAATGCCTTCACACATGCACGAAAAAGATACTTTTTGTGCCAGGGGAAGAAAAATGATATTGAGGTCAGTACCGATACCAAAGTTTTAACAAAACTCAAGTGGACATCTTCGTAAATCCTTGAGGCTTGGCAACAAGCTCATGGACATGCCGTCCCAGATAAAACAAGTTTTCAGGTGGATCCAGTATTTTTAAGGATGGTCAGAATGACCTCAAAGATTAATTCAAGGCAGAAAGGTTATCTCAGAAGGCTATGGAGAGCATTTTGGGGGATTCCAGGGGATCATCTTGATGGATTTTCTCAAAAGACACAGGATGATCGCAGGGGCTCATTAGGAAAAAGGTTAAAGCCAAGTGACAACCACATTGGTAAGAAAAAGGCCAGGCAAATTATGCTGCAGGTCCTACCCTGCCCCCCTCCCTTTAGTACACCTGTTAGTCTTACAGGGAGCTAGGGAGGTCCTATGAGAATTTTGTTGGGAAACCTTATCCCATCTACTCTGTAGCCTTGACCTTGCCCCTTCAGACGGTTTTGTTGCTGCTGTTGTTGTTCCTAACACTCAACATTTCAAAGGAACATGATTGGAGTCCCTCAAGTGTATCATGTCTGCAGTTCTGAAGTGGTGGAAATGGAAGAACCCAGAATTCTTTGAAGAAGCGCTGGAGAGATGGTGGTACCCCCTTCAGAAGTAGACAAGCCTGAGTGCAGGAGGCCAAATGACAGTGGCTTGACATGTTTCATAAAGGGTTCTGTGATTTTTGTAGCAATACTTCTCTACTTACCACCTAATGCATCAGCCACCGAGTGCAGACCATTGTTGTTCATGAACAACATGTGGTGGCTTCGAGAATCCTTTGCTCGTGAGTTAAGTTGAATCTTTCTGGTGTACTCAAATCAGTGTTGGCCATCTTTGGGGCTTATTTTAATGAAGGATCTCTATAAAATCTCTCTCCAAATTGAACACGTTTCTTAATTTTCTATTGTTGAAAAAAACAATCCAACAACACACGCAAACAACAAAACAAACCCATTCTCACTGAGTAGGCTCCAGTTAATAAGGACCCTGTAGCACAGGGCAGAACTGCCCCAGAGGGTCTGCATGGCTGCGCTCTTTACAAAAGCAGCCTGCTCCATCGTTCTCCCGCAGACTGGCTGGTGGGTTGACCATTTGGTCTTTGGATTAGCAGCCAGGTGCCTCACCAGTGTGCCACCAGGGCCCCTTCTCTTTCCTAAACTTTCGTGGAATGGGGAACCAAATCTAAACTCTGCTTTTTTTTCTTTATATGCCATAGGAGAACACCTGAGAACTCAGAACTCTCTAGTAACGAACCTTCCCATCATGTACATCCCTCTAATATCATTAAATAAGAACTTCGATATTCTTTGAACCATAATTTTTCATTTGGTGTATGATTATTTGATATTTAGATTTTATGCGCATTTCCCCTACCACTTATGATTTCCCCTTCCCGGCGAAACTTGTGTAGTGTTACTTGGTCCAGTTTTAACCTTGGATAGCAAGTGCTAGAAGTGGTTCAAGTTCCCCTGATAAAGGTCAGCTGATTCATCTTTTCTAACTTTTTATTGATCTCAGGGAAGAAGCACCTTGCCTTATGTAAAAGATGTAGCAGTTAATATTAAGGTAAATTTATTAAATCAGAGATAACAAACCCTGTCGAACACCATTCCCATGACTCTAACCTCCCAATCAATAGTCACAGGTTTTTATAATTTGAAAGAAAAAAAAACTTGAGCAAATGACATTTTTGATCATGCACAGATAGTAAAGTTATTTGAATCAAAAGATTTCACATATGCTATGAAGGTAATTGCTATGCAACCCCAAGTGTTTTAGAACAACAACAACAGAAGCAACAAACAGACAAAGCAGGGATTCTCAATGTTGGTTTTTTCTTCCTGGTGGGAGTGCCCTTGATCACAGATTATCTGTGTGTGATGAGTCCAAGCCCTATTTGGTTAAAGCTTTCGCCACACTTAAGGGGGAAGACAATCTTATCTTTAGAATAGCATGGATCCATTCGAGTTAGAGGCTTTAGGAGCCGCTAGCAGAATATTTTCCCCAGTTCCAGATTCAAATATTAAATAAAACTAGATGTGCAAAAATAAACAAAAAATCCACCACCAAATGACCACCTACCCTCCACAAAACTACCTGCTTGGGGAAAATTTTTAAAATGTCCTCTGTTCTACGTTCTTGTCCTCAAAAGAGCAGATAAACATTCCTCCTGGATTCCCAGTAGCTTCAATGCCCACAGAGGCCGGCAAAGGCAAGAACCCTGCTCTACAAGTGCCAGAGGCGGTCACTGTGGCCCCTCTTGGGCCACTCCTCCTCCACCCACTTTCGCAGGACCTTCTCCACGTCGGCCCGATGGTAGAGCCTGCAGAGCTCCATGAGTTGGTTCACCGTCCTCTGGCTGTTCCGGAGCAGGAACTCCAAGGTGGGGCTCTGAGGCCGCTGCTCCAGGAAGCACAGTTCGTCATAGGGCATACCCCATTTGCTTGCAAAATTCCTCCAGTTCTTTACGGTTGGGTGGCATGGATCCAGCTTTATCCTGATTACATCTAGTATATCCTGATCATTGAGCAAGTCACTTATATTGGGGGCCCGGAGGGAGCAGGTGGAGCATGTACAATTTTCTTGACAGGACGTCTCCTTGCTTAAATCTGCAGGGAAAAACAACATATTCGAACAAGTTAGCAAGAGGCTTAAACTGTGCATTTGTTTCTTTTCGTCTTTACTTTGTTCCTGAATTGACCAGTTAAACCCAACCCGATGGCGGCTGAATTGATTCTGACTCATCAAGTGGCTCCATGTGCTGCAGAGTAGAACTGCCCCATGAGGGTTTCTTGACTGTTACCCTTTATGGAAGCTGATCACCAGGCCTTTCTTCCTGGACACCACTGGGTGGGTTAGACTTGCCAACCTTTAGGTCAGTAGTTGAGCACAAATCATCTGTGCCACCCAGAGACCTTAATGGCCAATCGCATCAGTATGGCTAGAACACTGGACTAGTCCATCCTGATTGACAGTGACCTTCCAAGGCAGAGTAGACTGACCTCCTCCATTGAGTTTCGTAGGCGATCATCTTTAGGGGAGAAGATCCACCCCCTGACCTTTTGGTTAGCAGCCAAGGACTTGACCACTGTGCTTACATATAAGCTAGCACGTCTCAGAGAGGACTATCTCAGAACGCTCAGTTGCAGAGAGTCACATGTAATTCTTACGGGTAGAGAGCCTTGGTAAAGGCAGTTAGTTGCGCTAGATTCCTGAGGCTCTCTCTGGGTGACAGGAAATATTTGGGGGGCTGCTGGCCACAGATGAAGCCCCCCAGGAACAGAATTCCGCGTGTAGAAGATCAATCCAGTGGGGTCATTCCT